CTCGCTTTAAACTGGTACAAAAAACACTGGGGACAGAAGTCCCTGGACAAAACGCCCCCAAAAGAATCCAGGGCTTAAAGCCCTCCCAAAAGCTAAAGCAAGGCAAAAATCAACAGCAGACCCTGGACAGCCTGTGCACAAAACAGAACACTTTATTATAATACAGTAACTCTAGCCTCAATCCCCAATTGTATCCTGTTCCATGAGGATTTGGGGACTGGAAACTGTCTGTAGAGCTTCAATCCCAGGGCTGAATGGAGCCAGCAGTCTCAGGGCTGTTCAGAACTCTGACTGCTGGCACTGGTCCTTAACAAAATGTCTACACTGCAGGTGGGAACGAGCTTCCCAGCCCAGGTAGATGGACTCATGCTACTGGGGCTTGAGTTACTGGGCTAAAAACAGCAATGTGGACATTCCAGCTCAGGCTGGAGCTCAGGCTCTGAAATCTAGAGAGCTGGGCGGGCTTGAGAACCCGAGCTTCTGCCCCAGACAGAATGCCCATAGTGTTATTTTTAGTCCACTAGTTTCAGCCCCATTAGTGCAAGTCTGTCTACCCACCCTGAAAGACTCGCTCCCAGCTGCAATGTAGACATACCTTGAGGGACCATCCAGCAGCTGAATTTTAACGACGTTCTCTTTTTTTTTTAAAGAGAGCTTTAAGTATAAACTTGTTACAGTACAAAACTTTCAAACTTTGTTTACAATAAACCTTGTTAATACAAAGCATTTGGACCTCAGAAATACTGTTTAACCTTAAAATGGTGCAATTCTCTAAAGCAGACCATTGTTTCTTCATCCAAATGTCCCTCATTTTCTCTCTCTTTTCTGCACGATGTGGTACATAAGCCATAAGGGCCTGCTGGGCCTCTGCACAAGGCTAAATTTCACCAAAGAACACAGAAGCTGACAGAAGAGGAGCCAGCATGCACGAGGAGAGGTTAAGCCTGCCAACTCAGCAGTTCCAAACGGGATCCCAACCAGCATGGTAGTCATTGACACCTGATTCTGCCACACTGAAGTCAATGGGATTTCTACCACTGATTTCAAAAGGAGCAGAACAGTCTACTCAAAAATCAGGCCTCATATCATCATCATGTTCCTATTACGCCTCTGGCATTTAGGGCAGAGACAAAGCTCCTCCACTCCTGTCTGTTTCTGGCAAGTCTTTCAATGGTTCTGCAGCTGTGCCCGAGGTTTTTCAGGTCATCTTCCACTGCTCTTCGCCATGTTGTTTTTGGGCGGCCTTGTTTTCACTTGCCTTCAGGTGTCCATCTTATTGCTACTCTGGTGATGGACCAGCCTATGGCACATTTTGTCCCACTGAGTAGATGGGGGCTTGCTGTCAATGCTGGTCCACATACCATTTATAGTCTGCGTTTGCTATTTCTAAATCATCCTTCACTTTTTCCTGGGCCTGATGAGTCTGCTGTATTAGGTCTGAGGCAGCCGGGTCGAGAGCGGATGTGGGTAATTGTGGGTGGAATCACAGGTGGTACCCATAGTTGACAAAAACGGGACTTTGACCCTTAGACGCATAGTCTATGTTGTTGTATGCAAATTCCTCGTTAGGGAGAAGTAAAGACTAATCGTCCTGGTGATTATTGAGGGAGCATCGCAGATACTACTTGATGATTTGGTTGGCCCTTTCCATTTGACTGTTGGACTGGGGATGGTAAGCAGAGGAAAGACATGTGTGGACCCCCAGCAGGTGCAGAACCGGGCCATGAACTAAGAACTCTGATCAGAGGTGATGTGCTCCAGAAGGCTGTGGAGATGGACTACATGGCTATTCCATAGCTGAGCTGTCTCTTCAGCAGAGAGGAGGCCTGTGCAAGGGATGAAGTGGGTGTCTTGCTCTCTGGAGTGGTTCATGACCAAGACAGACTGCCACAAGCAGGGCAGACACCCCAAACTGGTGGTATGTTCTACAGTTAGATTTCAGTAGTAACAAATGTGAACTCCTAGATCACTGTAACAGTCTTGCCATGGAGTCACAGACAGTCCCTTGGGGCTCTCCAGCCTATCTTGCCACCCAGGCAAGCTGGACTTAGTGATAAGTGGTCACTTACAACATAAAAAAAATTAAAAACACAAAATATTCTGGTTGCTCCCAGTCCCAAGAGACCAGTCACTAACCCCAGATCAATTTGTACCTTAGATCTCACACCACAGACACACCTGTAGCCAATCCTGTAATAAACTAACTAAAGGTTTATTAACTAGAAGAAAGTAGTGAGAGTTATTTATAGGTTAAAGCAAGTTACATTCACAAATGAATTTCAGTCTGATCCAAAAGGTGACAGAGATGTAGTAATCTGTCAGCATTAAATGTCTTTTAGGGCTTAACACAGACAGGCCCTAGGGATCACTGCTTTTTGTTTCTTAGCTCTAGCCTCTGTAAGAGTCCAGACAGCAGAGAGATGACAAATCTTCATGTTAGCTATTTTTATTTCCCTCTTCCGGCATTAAAACCAATGTAATGAGGCCTTCTGCACATACTTCTCCATGGGTGGATGGGGCAATTGTCCTATGATGACCCATTTAATTTTAATAGTCCTCCTGGATGGGCAGGGAGAGCCACTTTTCCCATCTAAGATCACAAGTTCCGAGCAGGGATGTTTACTATTATAAAACAAACTTATATTTTACCTTCTGCAATGGAATACAGATATTACAAGTAAGATTGATGCATGCAGCAACTTACAAGTATTTCATAGAATAGAAACCAGTGGTTCTCAACCTATTTACCATTGTGGGCCTCATGGGCAACATCCAATACTACCTGTATGGCCCTGAGGATGTCACATGAGCTGCAGCTGTGTGCTGATTGGGCCACAGGTTGAGAACCACTGGAACACTAAACACATCCTTACAAGTCTAGCAACTATCTTGAACAATATTAACATAGGTGAACTGATCTGGTTTCCAGCTATGAATTTGTCAGTGCTGAGATGATGCCTACAGACCTGGCAAGATCAGGCACCTGGTTTACCAGCATCACAGTGGGCCATTTTGGAAAAGTGGACCATCACCAATCAAAACTGTTACAAATTTTTTGGACTCTGGTAATTCTACAATAAGGTCTACAGCGATGGCTGCCCAAGAGCTGGAGAAGGCCACAGGGCTTGTGGCATGGGGTTTTGGTGTGGCACAAACATCATAGGAGGCAATGAATGACTGTATGAAGAATGAGGGGGGATTTGATAGCAGCCTTCAACTACCTGAAGGGGGGTTCCAAAGAGGATGGAGCTCGGCTGTTCTCAGTGGTGGCAGATGACAGAATAAGGAGCAATGGTCTCAAGTTGCAGTGGGGGAAGTCCAGGTTGGATATTAGGAAACACTATTTCACTAGGAGGGTGGTGAAGCACTGGAATGCGTTACCTAGGGAGGTGGTGGAGTCTCTTTCCTTGGAGGTTTTTAAGGCCCGGCTTGACAAAGCCCTGGCTGGGATGATTTAGTTGGGAATTGGTCCTGCTTTGAGCAGGGGGTTGGACTAGATGACCTCTTGAGGTCCCTTCCAACCCTGATATTCTATTCTATGATTCTATTGTTGGGTGCATCGAGGGCCACCAAAAGGAGCAGGATATTAGTTATTAGGTCTTGAAGAGCCCCAAGTGTTCTGCTAGGGGAAAATCATGGCATAGTTGTAGGACTGCAACTCTTGTGGGTCCTGTGGTAACAGATGCATTCTCTTACGTACATGATCCCTTCCCAGGAGTCATGCAGTTGCTTGTTGATAATAGCTTGTTCGTCAGGCAGATTTCCTGAAGCAGAGGCAATGGGTATTAAACTTAGTATATCTGGTGATGAGCTGCACTGAGAAAGTTACAAGATTGGAGAATGGAAGTTGGGTCCTGTCTGGGGCCTGGTGGATTAGTATCATGGGACAGGGCATCTACCTTGCCATTTTGTGATCCAGGGTGGTATGTTATAATGAAATCCAATCGTGAGAAAAACAGGTCCCACCAAAGCTGCCGTTGGATTAAGTCCTCCAGCCCCCTAATAATTTTTGTTGCCCTCCACTGGACTCTTTCCAATTTTTCCACAAGTTGTGGAGGGCCAGCCCAGAGGATCAGTGGAGAATGGATCACACCAAATTCTGATGTAACTCAGGGACCCTGAAGCACAGCCTCTGAGGAGTTGTTTCCTGCATTACTGGACCAAATGACAACCATCAGTAGTCTATAAGGAGTGGCCTTCTGTTGCAGGGAAATGTGCAGGATCCAGGATGCTGCTGTGCATAAGAAGTAGTCAGCTGTGCCCAAGTCAAGGAGGGCCGGTAGGATGGGAATTTGCTGGGATGTGCCAGGTATGTGCAACTGGATTGGCACCTGCAACTGGGGAGCCCTCTGGCAGGGCTCTGGGCATGTTCCAGTCAAGACCAAAGTATGGGGAAGGCTCTTACAATAGTGTTACCTGCTCCTGCAATAGCTGGTTCTCCTAGGTCAGCTGAACAACGTGGGCCTACAGGGCTTGGTTGTCTGCCTGAAGGTGAGCAGTCCACTCAAACATGTCCGGTGTGCCCCCGGCAAGAAAGTTAATACTGGAGGAACTGTACAGAACTCACCCTGTTAACTCTCTAGATTCTTTGCTAGTGTTATCTGTGGTATTTTTCATATCTTGATATCAGCAGTTGTTATACTGTTTATAGCAAAAGATATTCTAAGCTGAAACTCAACATACACAGTACATTTTAATGTCTTTCACAACCATATGATTACACAGTATAGTGTGTATATCCTGTCTTTCACACTAACATACAATATCCTGTAATGAAAGGTTTCAGAGTAGCAGCCGTGTTAGTCTGTATCCGCAAAAAGAAGAACAGGAGGACTTGTGGCACCTTAGAGACTAACAAATTTATTAGAGCATAAGCTTTCGTGGACTACAGCCCACTTCTTCGGATCCTGTAAATAACCATCCGTTTCTTCATCCTCAGGCTAGTAAAAGATCAACAGTTTTTCAGTGAAGGAGATATGGAGATACTGACAACAACATAGAAGTAGTCATGATGATGCAACACCATGTACAAATGATGTCAAACAATTTGCATCCCTGTTTCTGCCACCTCTTTACTCCTTGGTTCTGATATTTGGCCTGGTGAGCAATGTGCTAGTTGTGCTGATCCTGATAAAATACAAGAAGTTGAGAAGCATGACTGACATCTATCTGCTGAATCTGGCAAATTCCGATTTACTCTTTATTCTTTCCCTGCCATTTTGGGCTTACTATGCCCACGAGTGGGATTTTGGAAATGCAATGTGTAAAATTCTTTCAGGGGTGTATTATGCTGGCTTCTACAGTGGAGACTTTTACAAAATACTTTTGACAATAGACAGATATCTGGCAATTGTCCATACAATGTTTACTATAAAAGCTAGGACAGTTACCTATGACATCCTCACAAGTGTAGTCATTTGGGGTGTTGCAATATTAGCCTCTCTTCCAGGTTTAATATTTTACACTGTTCAAAAGGAAGGTGTTTATTGGACCTGCAGCTCTCATAATCCGTCAGGCCATGAAAGAAAATGGAAGCAATTCCTGATTTTAAAGATGAACATCCTGGGACTTGTCATTCCACTGGTCATTATGATCTTCTGCTATGCCAAGATTATAAAGACATTCCTGAGATGTAGGAAGGCGAAAAAACATAAGGCAGTCGGGCTTATTTTTATCATAATGAAGTGTTATAGTGAAATGTCTATTTCAGTTAAACTGCGTTCTCTATTTCCATTTTTATTGTGCTGTGAATCCTTGTGCTATGATTATTATGCTTCTTTAGCTTTGCGTGTTCCTAAAAGTTGTTTATAAAATCATTGTTTGAAAAGCTACATATGTTGCATGTTTCTCATTGTCTTTGAGGAAAAGGGGCTTTAGCTCTGATCTCTGGGAAAGGGCAGGGATTGCTCCTTACACGGACACCAAGGGAACGCACATAACCACAAAGGGGGTGGAGAGGAAGTGGAGTCACGGACCAGAACCCTCCCCCACACCAGCCCACAGAGAAATGAAACCTACTGGTATGGCGTTGCTGTGCTATTCTAAAAGATGTTGCAGCTGGTGCTGACCCTGTGCACCAAGAAGCTTGAGGAGGAATTTGGCACTTTGACTTTGAAAACACTTTTTTTTCATATTTTCCGGAGAAAATATCAGTTTTGGTAGTTTTTAAAAATCAGGTGGGGTGAAAGTGAGTGAGGAACTATTATATAGCGCTGGGGAACAGGCTGGATTCTTCCACAAGCCAACTTTGGCCACCGTATGATCTCTTGGTGCTGCTTAGGAGGTATAAAGTGACTTTAGCCAACCAGAGAATCTAGCCCTTAAAGTTTTATATCTAGAAAGTACTAAGCATTTACAATTTAACACGGAGAAGTGTCTGTTGTTCTACATCCCTCTCCATGCTCCACTCCTTGCCCCCACAATTTCCCTGCCAGCCCTAGATGCCTCCCTAGGCCTTCTCTACAGTACACAATTTTGTCAGCAAAAGGCAGCTTTTTCCAACAAAACAGAGGAGATGTACACACAAAAAAGCTACTTTTGGTGGCAAAACTCTGCTGTTTTGCCAACAAAAAAAAAATCTTTACAAGCGGCAAAGAGCTTTTTGCAACGAAGTTAAAGTGACAAAGCGCTGGTGTAGATGCTGCCGTTCATTATGCCGACATAACTGGCCTCCCCAGTATCCCACAATGCCCGCTGTGACCGCTCTGCTCACACTTTTGAACTTGACTGCCCGGCACACAGCTGCAGACATGCACCCCTCCCCTTTCAAAGCTCCAAGAAGTCGTGACAGCTGAGTTTGCTCCTCAACTCCAGCAGCAAAGAGCAAATCATTAACGTGTAATTCTTCTGTTCTCCCCTGCACTAGGAACACAGCGACAGGCAGACTGCTGCTGCGAGGATGCGGGGGGAACTGCAGTGCTGTACCATGGGGGCTGCTGTGCTGTGCTGCTTTTCCTTTGACATTCCTCAGCATGGAGAGCTCACAGAGCTGTTGAGGATGCCATTCCCGGCAGCTGAGGAGGCTGTAGGAGAACTCAGAGGGAATTACAGAACCATATTCTACTGGGTTCGAGGGAGGTGGGCGGGCTCAAGCCCACCCACGACTAAAGGACCCTCCCCCAGTCTATGAGGAGTATCCACAGAGCCCAGAAACTCAAGTAATTATGGGGGACAACGGAAAAAAATAACAGGGACTGGTGTGAAGGTCAAAGGGTCAAAAATAGGGAACCTAAAGGGAACACCGAGCAGAGAACCCTGGACAATGCCTACTGCTCCTCAAAGGTATCAAGGGAGCCAGCGGATGCCGCCCAGAGGAACTCTGCCCGGATGCGTGAACTGAGGGAGGATCGGAAATAGGCCCCACAGTCACAGAGAATCCCCTCAGCCAACATCCTCTCCCTGGTGTTATAGAGGGCCACCCTGTCCATGGCTAGGAGGAAGTTGACGAGGAGGTCCTGATCACAGAACCATAGGCAGGCAAGCAGAGGGGACTGCTGTTGTGGGGAGGTGGTGGGGAGAGACTGCTGTACCATGCAGAGCCAGGTCTGATGTGTGGGGGGGTGCCCCCTGCCTCACGATAGGTTGGTCAGGCTGCTGTCTGAACTTAAAGAGACAGCATGCCAACACACTCACTCTACCCACAACACACACACTTCCCCAACACACACATTGTTCCTGCGTAGAGAAGGCCTTAGTCTACTGCAACCTGCTTCCATGAATCCCAGTCCTCCACCCCCTCATCCCTTCTCCATATCCTGCCAATCCTCATATATCCCCACTTAAATCACTGCTCCCTGTCTCCTTCTCCAGGTGCAGCATGGGCAGTTAATTGGCCCACTTAGCCGGCTTAACATTTCCAGCCCTGTGTGGTGTGGACACCCCATCACATACCCTTTTGGTGTTAATTGGAGCTCTCTCCAATTTAGCAAGTCTACTCCTTTTATAGCCAATTAATATTAATATTAAACCTATCCATTACCATATTCACATTTCCACCATCTCTTTTTTGGCTCTTTATGTACATATCATTTAAATTAACAGCTGCAGCCAATGTCCTTCCCATGCTATCAATACAAATATCATTTTAATTTAGATTCAAAATTCTCAGAAACTCTCATTAAAAGCTCTGCTAAAACCAGTTACGCTCCAACCTTGCCACAACATAACCCTGGGTCATGTCCTTACTAACTTCAATTTTCCCGTCTTACTGTCTCCAACTTATCTTTTTACTCATGCTAACAAAGTCAATTTCCCATATTCCTCTATTCTTAACCTAAGGCCTAGTCTTTACTTACCGGCTGGTCCGGCGGCACACCATCGATGTTCTGTGATCGATTTATCGCGTCTGGTTAAGACGCGATAAATCGATCCCGGATCGATCCCGGAAGTGCTCACAGTCGGCGCCGGTACTCCAGCTCGCCGAGAGGAGTACGCGGCGTCGATGGGGGGAGACTTCCTGCCGCGTCTGGACCGCGGTAAGTCCGGACTAAGGTACTTCGAATTCAGCTACGTTATTAACGTAGCTGAATTTGCGTACCTTAGTCCGAAGTCCGGACTAAGTGGGGACCAGGCCTCACTTAAACAAAACCTAATTTCTACTTATTTCTTAACCTAACATGCTCTGTAGGGCACACCTACCAGACCTCATCCAAATCACCAGCCATGTGACCAATACAGCTGAAATCAAAGAACCCTGACACCTGTTAAAGTTGGGCCTCCAATTGTTTTATCTGCTCATACATTGGAAAGTGGAAGACTTGTGTTTGGACTCTGGAAAGGAAAACTTTAGGGTTCATTTTTGTTCTGTGAGCTGTTCTCGCTGCTGATGAGGGAAGCTCCACCTTCTGATACGTCACTGTTGTCTTGTAGGTTTTGCAATATTTATTCTGCTGTGAGGAGGTTCTGACTAAAGCCCCTTTTGGGATCATTTCAAACACAGAGTGCTCATTGAGCAATGATCTGTGATGGCATAACTGCAATTCTGAGTCACTCTTGCTTGAAGGCTCCCTAAATGCACAATTTAGGCAATATCAGCTAGGCATACCAGCACCCAGTCACTTGAATGGCTAAAAGATGTCACCTCCAGTTCCCTCATAGGTGAAAGCTGATATTCAAGAGGCTCAAAGGCTTGTGTCAAAGCAGCCCATACATCCAGCTCCAGAAATCTAAAAAAAATATTGTCAAAGCTACATGCTCAGGCCTATGAATATACTGCAGTAAGCATGGCCTTGCTATGCAGAGCACTGTCTGCTTTGCTCAGAAGCATGTGTGCTTCCAAATTGGTCTGGGGCAATGGGAGTGGTGAAGAATCCAGATGCCTCTCCCTTTTAAGTGGGAGCCCAATATGTTCTGAGCATGCTCAGGCAGGTCTCCCCACCCGTTCACTGAAATCAGAAATGAACAGTTTGAAATTTTAATTTTCCCCTATAGCAAACACTTATTTTGTCCAGAAATGATTCTGAAGAGCGAAGGCTTTGCTAACCCTTCATATGTCTTGTAGGCTGTGACAGGGTGCGCTCACCACTCGGGTACCTCCTGCTGTCTTGGGAATTAGCTCTGCATGCCACTGTCACTCCTGCTCTAGGACCTACATCTCTCCAAAGACTGTGATGTCCTCCTCAGTGACACAGCCCTCCGGCCATGCTACACACTGTGCACCCCCCTTCCGGGGGATCTGCAGTCCGCTGTTCAGCCACTTCACTTAGTGGCTACTGCAGCAAATTGTCTGGCCACTTCGTCATAGCCTCTGCATCCTCTTTGCTCTTGCCCCAGCAGCCATCCAGGGCTATGTCTACACTACGGGGGGGGAGGAGAGGATCGATTTCAGATACGCAAATTCAGCTACAGGAATAGCATAGCTGAATTCGACGTATCTGATCCGACTTACCCCACTGTGAGGACGGCGGCAAATTGACCGCCGCGGACTCCCCCGTCAACAGTGCTTACTCCTACCTGGGCTGGTGGAGTATGCGCATCGATTCGGGGATTGATTATCGCGTCCTGACGAGACGTGATAAATTGATCGACGAAAGATCGATTTCTACCCGCTGATCTGGGTGGGTAGTGAAGACAAGCCCCAGGAGATGTCTCTCACTACCCCAGGCCCTGTGAGCAGCACTGCTCTGTCCAGGGTGCTGGAAGTTCTCTCAGGCCTCCAAAGACATAATCCTTCCTCTTTGGGCTCCCATCAGAGAACTGCCCTCCTCTGCCCTGCAGCTCCCTTTTTATATGGGTCTATTTGGCCCTGTTTGGTTGCTCCCTTCAGCCCTTCTCTGATTGGCTGCATCCTGTGCAGCCTCCCTAGGGCTCCATTAACCCCTTAGAGCCCAGCGTGGGGCAGGCACCTCATCACAGAAGCGTTTAATGGCCTGGTGGGCCAGGCCAGTTTGTTTACCTGCCGCGTCTGCAGGTTCAGCCTATCGCGGCTTCCACTGGCTAATGGGGGTGGTGGGAAGTGGCACCAGCACATCCCTCGGCCTGCTAGTAGCAAATACCCCAATTGCCTAGAGTGGCATGTGGCCCATCTCATCATACCATCCAGTCCATAAATTTATCAAGCTCAGTCTT